GTTTTCACATGACGGAACCCAATATCACTGGATTTAGAGATGGTTATTTCTCCTTGATTTATTTTAATTTTAAACTTGTTGAATTTTAAATGAAGTATAGATTTGAACGTTGAAGAGTTAAATAAATTTTAAATTTGATTTATTTATATGAATTTCAATAAGTTAAATTTAAAATAAATTTAACTTTTTGGATGTCAGAACTTAAACTAATTTTAAATGTAAATTTACAAATTTACATTTAAAATAAATTTAAACTCTCATACCTGAAAACTTAAATTTATTTTAGATTTAGATTTTTAAAAATTAATTTTTGGACTTATTAAGTTTTTATAAATGCAAAATTGATCATCCCTACACTGTTGTAATTTTTCAAATCATTATAATAACGTTACTTATGATCATGATGATCACGACTTGAATAAGGTTAGACAATTCTAAGTCTTCAAAAAAGCCTGGTAGATAAGTCGAATTACTTACTGAATCAATAGAGTAAGATGAATCCGTCGACACTTCAACTTCTGGAATACTATTATTTATTAGCACGAATCTCACAGAAGTGAAACACCAACTGGTCAAATTCAATGAGTCACATGGGTTGATATTTCTACTTTCTCTGCTAATTTTAGTATAGAGCTAAAACTGTTCCACTTAAATACTGTTTATGTGGCTTAATACAATTAATAGTTCAGTCCATTTTATCTGTGAATGATGTGTTATCATACTGAATAAATACTTTGTTTTCATTTATTGCCTAAATGAAATTTCCAAAGCGTTCACATGGTGAAGCTTCTTGATCGTTAACAATTCTGAGATGTACAACCCATGTAGAAAAATGTCAATGAAAAACTTAAATAAACCGATTATTTTTTTTTTGTTAAAAATCGATTAAAACGATGCCACTTAATTCTTACTGAAAATAAATTTTTCAATATGAAAAATAGATTTCATTTGATTTTACTATTTTAAATCGATTTTTAGTCGAATAATAAAGTCCTATTGATTGAAATTGGTTTTTAGAAACTGATCAAGAATGATTAAAATCAAATGATATCTATTCTTGAACCTGACAAATCAGATTCTGACTGGATCCAAATGGTGTCTTTTTAATTGACACTTGTTCATAAAAAAATTAATTCTAATCTAATTTATCGATATTTTTTCTTACACAAGTCAGTATTAATTGGTGTCCATCTTAACGCCTGCTATACGTGTCAAAGTCTACGCTAGTGTGATAATCACGATCTGCTAAGCTAGGTAGTTCGAAAAAAACAGCGGTTCGAGTTCCTAACTTAAAACCCGAGAAAAACCTGTTTTACGACCACTACCATTTAAATCAAGTGAAAATTAACTAGTTACTCTAATTTTGATTAAATGATGATAATTCCACCTTAATCGATCTTTAGCTAGGAAGAAGTCGACTAGAATCATTTTTTTTTGTCTTGTGTGAGAAATTTCCCTTGCAAAACAGAAATAAAGTTCGGGCTGGACGACCCGGAAGAATTTGAAGCCCGCCCGATCCACTGGTCTTCGTTGAGGAGGCCCGCACGGTCCGGAATAAAGACCTTCTCGGGCCAAGCCGGACCGAGTCACCGGGCCGAGTGGCCCGTTTCGAGCCCTGGTGTGGGTATGGGTGTGGGTGTGTGGGTGGGTGTGGTCGAACTGAAGATTCACACTCACACCGAAATCGACACCCATCCACACCCCCACTCACCCACAGCCTTCTTCATGATATACTGTACATTAATGGCATGTTTCGTAATGGAGTCACATTCATGACTTCGAAAATTATAATCATAATCTGATAGTAATAAATAATTTTCATTTCCGATTGTTTACCATGACTAGCAAAATAAAATAATACTAAATCATCATATTGAACTGTATCAGCAAATCTATCCATTATCCTGTAGAAATGATTTAAATCGCAGTTCAATTCTAAAGTTATGTCGAAATTGATAGATCGAAGAATTGTACTTAAATCTTCAGCGTCATTAATACAGTACTGTAATGGATCACGTCGATATTTATTGATACCAATGATTATGGCACACTTTCGTCGATAAACAACAGACGATGCCATTGAATCTAAAGAGTGCCAACAAATGTTGAGAAAAGAGAAATCTTTTTCTTTTCATGTATTTGATGAATTTTCAAGTTGATTTACTTTATAATTCTATAACTTATCAAATTCTTTGCAGAAATTCTCGTAGAACTTTTTGTACTATTCGATATATACGTATCTATGAAAGATGATCTACTTTTCTATATGTATATGGTCCTTTAGAACTAACTATAATAGAAGTATGAAAAAGAATATGTCATGAAGTTTATATTTTGTGTTTGGCATGTGCGCAAACTTTTTTTTTCGTTCTGACGATGTTTGCTTATATCAATAAAGTTTTTTGTTGATGTTGTGTCATAAAATTTCAAGATAGTGCTCAAAACAGTAACACACCTGCAATTCTTATTTGTTCTGTTCTCTCTGCGATTTTGCTTACTGGTTGTCGAGAAGTAACGGAGAGAAAGAAAAACAATTATATTTTCTTAGTGACTAATAGTCTTGGTTTTTTCCCATTTAAAAAGACTTTATAAAGTATAAAAAAATATATATTTCGATCTATTACAAATTTTCACATAGAATTTAACATCTAAACCATGTCGAGAGTTTCTTCTACCGATGACAATGAACAAATATTAGCTGCAGCATTTTCAGCAATATTGGGCAAAGAAATTCTACCTGAGTCGAATGTACCACCACAAACACAACAGCATGTAAACAAAATTTCCATATTTGATCAACATTTAACATGTTTTGTTTATGGAAAAGTTGGCCAACAGGATACAAATAAAGATGAATCATTTATAACAATATACATCACAATTCTAGCAACGAAAACTACCTTCCCTGTTACAATTGAATGTGATGCAAGCGTTGATAAACTGAAACAAATAATTTATGAAAAAGCAGATATATTACGTAATAAACAAAATTTAATTTATTGTGGACAAGAAATTGATGAAGGTCATCTGTTGAGTGAATATAATATTCAAGATTCTAGTCAAATAACTGTCGTACGTTTGAGAGCCATGAATTCAGACGATTTGCTAGTCTTAGATAAATCTGCATTGGATACCACGTATGATTATGATTTTACTAATATTAATGACAATGGGAAAAAGTTTATTCGTGGTGGAGTTGAATACCGTCGCCCTTGTGGGTGGAAACGTTATGCAATTAGAGTAGCTGGAAAGTATGAAAATGAAGTCTGGCTTGGCTCGAACAATAGTTCGGATGAATGGCCTGTATCCTATCATGGAACAAGGCATGATGCAGTGAACTCGATTGCACAGAAAGGTTATGATTTAACAAAACATAAGCGTTTTGCTTATGGTCGTGGTGTTTATTCAACACCAGACATTAACATAGCAAAACCCTATGCTAAATCGTTTACCGTAAATGCACAAGAATACCTCGTAATTCTCCAGAATCGTGTAAATCCAAAAACTTTAATCAAATTATCCCAAAATGAAACCGGAGTTGGTGAGTACTGGATATCGTCGAATCCTGCCGATATTAGACCATATGGAATTTGCATAATGAAGAAGCCGTGATATACAATACATTAATTTACACATCGATATTAATTACATGTTTCAACTTTAATTTATGATTTGAACTGAAGACAACTGTAATAAAAATTTATTGTATTGTTATCAAAAAACATCAAAATGTTGATGACTGATGTAAAATATTTTTCTGATGTAGAGTTTCATGAATTATTTTATATATCTGACATCTCAGCTTCTAATAGTCGCAAATATTTAGACATTAGATCTTATACATATATGTTGAATTTGTTTTAATAAACTATGATAAAAATGAAGTTGAAATGAGTCATGAAATATTGTATATTATTTAACGAAAACTTTGGCATTGTTCTTACTTAAATATTACATACTGTGAGAAACAATATTTATCATAATATAAAAAGTAGAAGATAGAGGACATATGAATCGCATTATCAATGAAATTTGTCAGTAAGAATAAAAGCACTATCATTGTATGAAATGAATATGTTAATTCATGTAGCATGGACGGAGCTAAATAAGTTACTATTGGAAGCTAAACATTTGTTTTATGATCTCATTAAAGTGACTTTTGCCGATGATATTGACGAAAATCTTTGTTTTCAATTGACTGTTTGTTCTAATGCACAATGTAGTACAATATTCACACATAATTACTTTTCCATTTAGTCATGACTAATGTTTTCTATTTTCGAAATAGATAAATATACGAATAGTTTAGTAGGACTGTTATGAAGAGGAATAGATAGATTTTTGATTATCTTGAAAATAATCTAAACACGTACAAGAAAATGACCAAAGTTTCATGAAATTTGAAACTGTCGATAGATAATATTTTGAAGATTGAAAGGCATAGTTTTGGAAGACAAATAATAAAAAGTGAGAACCGCAAATCTTTTGCTATATTTGATTTATGGATAGTGAAATCAGAAAATGACATTGCTGTAAGCGAACTCATATCGATAGACATTTCTTATTTCATAATGTTGTATGAGAATTTCTTTGAGTAAAATGATTATTATTTATGTACTATTTACGAACACTATCTAACTAACTTTGATAATCTTTATGATTGTATTTTTGATTATGCATCCTTTCAATGTGTTTCTGATTGCTATAACACAACTTTTTACTACAATAGAGAAAGATGGGCGACAAGATTGTTATTGTTACATGTAATAAATCAATCTGCTCAGTTGAATTGCATATGTAATAAATTGTGTCAGAAAAGATTTCAGTAAAAACAAGGTTTCGAAAAACATATGATAAATTTATTTCAGTTGTCTATCATCAACAAAACCTCGAATAGATTTTATAGTAACGTTGTGATTATCAAATTTTGTAGCCTCCATATATATTTATAAAATTGCTCACTAACTTGGAAGATTAACGACTATAATAACATGCAACGAATTCAATACCGAATAAGAAGAGTGGTTAATCAAGATTAAGATCTAAGGCAAGTAATTTAGAACTATCTTCTGATAGAATCGGTATCAAAACTGTTAAGAAAACAAAGTCATTTTTGGCATAGTACTAGTGAAAGAAAAATAAACTTTTCTACCTGTTTCTGTGAGTTATCTTTTGGCATTGGTCAACGTTCTTGTCATTGCTCTTAAAGAAAATTTTCTTTTCCAAAAGTTTGATCAAGTTTTAGTAACAACGTGCTTATAGTCACATTCCTACTGATTTAAATAATAAGCTTAATATCACCCATAATAATATATTGAATAATCATATTCTAGTTAAAAAAAGAGTTTTTCTTTTTTGATCTGATGTACAGTACTGAAGAGAGATATCAGTGTATATTAGAGTTGCAATATAGTAAGACCAGAATAACCGACTAAATTTCTATTTCTCAGATCAATGTATCTAATTAAAACAATGATCATCTAAATTCTTCGACTATCTCCAGTCTCATTCTGTACTTATGATTCACCGATGCATTACTCAAGAATTCGAACAATATTCTCCACCCGAGTCATTAAATATCCGAATTCCATGTTGATTTTTCGATGCGAGATTCTTACTATTGAATGTGTTTCTTCATTCAAATTCTTAAACTATGGGTTGACTACGACACCAAGTTGGGATATGATTGGTCGAACGTGTTTATGAATTCGACAACAAACAGAGTCGGCCAACTCAATTGGATATGATGAAACTTCTTCTCTGAATCTTTGATGTGCTCTATTTTTTCACTTGACTACTATATCTGTCTCCTATGTTTAATAATTGGCAATATTTGAAGCTTAACTACTTTCGGTACATGCGACTGAAGAGAATATATATATCTGCACTTAATGGGAGTCTATCTTCTTTACTTTTCTTTGTGATGACTGATCGTTCGATAATGTCCTATGCATATCAGAAAAAATATTGCAAAATTTTGGCAAGAACTTTGAATGGTAATCTTCTAATGGAGTTAACGTTGTTAAACACTCTAGAATTTTATGACAGGAAGGTTGGAACATGGTTTCTTTGCTGCGCAGATCCAAGCAATTTGCTTTGCACGTCGATGTATGCTTTATGAGCACAAGTCAGGTATCATCTCATAGAGCAATTAATTTAATAGTAATCCTTCATGAAAGAGAGTGTGGGTGTGGGTGTGGGGTGTGGGTGGGTGTGTGTGGGTGTGGGTGTGGGTGTGGGTGGGTGTCTGTGTGAGTGTGACTTACCAAAAGACACCCACACCCACACCCACACCCACACCATACTCACATCCACACCCACACCCACACCCACATCCACATCCACACCCACACCCACACACTCACACCCGCACCCCACACCCACATCCACACCCCACACCCACACCATACCCACAGCCACAGCCACTCCCACATCCACACCCAGACCCACATCCGCACTCACACCCACACCCTCAAAAAGAAATACGGTGAATTTTCAATACGTATACATTCTAGTAGTATAAGTTTTTGTTCGAATTAGAATAAAGTCAAAGACCTGATTTCAGGATATGCTGTGCACTTGTTTCTGCCATAATAAACTCGAATAATCCCATTCGTGTATAAAATTCTCTCTTGATATACATTTCCAAAAGCTGCATAAGATGACCGACAGTTGCTTGATGATCAATTAAATGATCCCAAACTGACGAGAACAATTGTGCTAATGCTTGCTCTCGATATGTAACATAAACTAATGGACGTTGTGCTTCGGAAGCAGCCATTAATTGAATAATTGCTGTAAAGAAAAAGAAAGATAAAATGGATCTTTTTATTTCTTGATGCATTGTTTAACCTTTTAGTTCTACATCGCCATTGAAAGCACCACAACCCCAGTTACCAGTAGCAACGCCGACACGAGGTTGTTCTGCGGGTATATTCAACGTCTGAAAACCTGTGTAAGCTTTGATCAATTCTCGTTCTGTAGTTTCCATTGAAAATTGCGATCGTCTATCCGAAAAGCAAATTGCATCAATGGCAACTACGTGACACATGCGACAACCCCAAGAATCTCTAAATTTAATGTACAAGAGATGTTGCCATTTGCTGAGTCAGCCAAAAGAACTATTACGTTAAAATCGAAAATCATGCATACCTCGGTGTATTATCGATATAATCATTATTAAATCGAAAGCCAAACCCATAACCTTTATATGAACAATAACGTTCACAACCAATAAGAAAAATACATTCGTCATCTTTCATTACTTCACAGACAAGTAAACTAGTTAACATCTCTGGACAGACCGTAAAACGAATTTCTTCTTGAACACAACCATCACCCATGACACCACCACCCTGAAACAAATAGACATATTCTGAAAGTAATCATCAATTATCGAGTTCTTTTACAATATATTCATTAGCAAAGTCAACCTATAATAAATTGAAACATAATAAATTTTTGTTTGTTTCATAGAATAATAATTAGTAATCAACAGACTTGAAGATAAAAATCCATGTCTTCAATAGTTCGATTGTAAGTTATGTGAACACGTGAAATGGATCGATTAGAATTTCGCCACTTCGGAATACTTTTAGTGGGTAATCTATAACGTTGAAATTGAATCACACCCGTCGGTTCTGAAATGCATCAATTACTATTATTATCATGGAGTAAATTTTGAAGAACGAACTTTCGTGTGTAATACGCTGGAAATAGTTCATAATACATTTCAATTTTTCAATTCTCAATCTCGATGGTATATTTCCATAACTGCCGAAAAAACTAGAAACCAGAAGTACGACTTAACTTTTGCTTGATATCTCGAAAGCATCTACCTGTCAAAATTAAGGTCTTGATAATTTTGAGTGTGACGATATGTAGCTGAATTTTCCCTTGTTTCATAAAGACAGAAAAATGCACATGCCAATAATGATGCACATTGGTATTGTGACATAACGACTGACCGATTGGTTCCGATACTTAGTAAAGGTAATGGCTATAAAGAACAATACGACATATTGAATTAAAGTTTTACAATGATAGCCTCTTGCCATAATTCAAACACATTAAACTAACGAAAGATAAACTCTCATTAATTTTCGATAATAGTTACGACCTATCTTGACATGAAAGTCCTATTAATTTTAAAAAGTAAAACTACTTTCTTTGTATTTTGTTTTGTCATAGAGAATACAACAATCATTTAATCGATACAATCCATCGATCTCGGAACAGGTACGCAACCGTACTTAAATTATACTCGATATATTTTTATTAATAGTTATTATGAAACCAAAAATCAGTCCTAAGACCGTAGGTGATATTGATCAAAGTATTCGACAAACCTGACTACAAATTTTGTCGACATTGAGTGCTAAGTTAATAATGTTTAATAGAACATGCGACATGATATTATTTCGAACTTCAGGTGAATATTCCTGCAGAAAATAATTCATAATAATCAGTAATAAATCGGCTAGAGTTTACGTAGTCGATCAATTGTTCTAGACAGTTCAGATTCATATTCTTTCGGTGATATTGTTCGATTGTATTCTAGTAGACAAAATAGAGATGCTTTTAAATATATTCCAGTTGAACTTCTTCCTACTTTGATATCTACTACAGTAGCTCTTTTTTCTTTACATTTCTGCTGTAAATTGTTCAACGCATGTTGAATAATTGACCAACGTCTTTCTCTGTTTAACTAAAATAAAGACAATAAGATGCCAATGAAATGTAGCCTAAGTCTAAATGTAAAAACTTATAGTAACCAATGAAAATGCCCATCGTTTCTATTCTATTACAAAATTTAGAAATTTCAAAGTAGGCTTCTGTAACATCCGAGCTTTGCTTTTCACAGAAAATTTGAAATATTGGTTTGAGATAAATCACATTATGACTCATAATAAGTATGTGAAAATTGTTACAGGATATTTGAGTATATGTTCAGTTAAGAAACATTGCTGATCAATATTCACACCGAATTCTTGACTCTCATGATATGTCATGAGTTGAGTTCGCTTCATCGAAATTATGTCTAAAAGATCCAGTCGGATTAAGACTAACTTGGCAAGTATGCCGTGCTTCTATTTGTAAGATCGTTCGACTACTTCACTCTCAAAAAAAATTGTGAGGAATCATCCAGATCGAGGTAAATACACAATCAGACAGATTACTACATGGCTCTTCGATAAGAATAATGATCTTCGAAAACTGTTCGTCTTTAAGAAATTCTGAAGAACACGACAAGACGTCATACGAACAAAATCTTTTTCTTTAACCTGTTTTTCTATTGTAAATTCAAATATTAATACAATACTGCATTCTATTATTAACAGTTCTTTGAAGCGAATTTCATTCAATCAACTTCCTTCCTTTTGAAGGCAAAAATAACAAAATAAAACCGAAGTCAATATGATATTTCACTTTGACATGCTCTTTCAACCAAAAAACCAAGAGTAATAATGTAAAGTGAGTCTAGATAGATGAATCTGAATTACCAAATCGGCCATTGTTGTCCAATGTTTGGTCAATATCTCCATCTAATAACACGTCAGAAGACTGACAAATTGAGCAAATTCTATATACACAAACTGAGGAGCTGTAAGTTCTGATCAACTTGACAACACAATAATGCATCGGTAAGTAAAGTCTTTCAGACATTGTAAAATTTTTTGTTATTTCCTGATTATTCTTATACTTTTTGTAATCTATATTTTGATTCTTTTTTGTACAACTAAATTTTTTGTAAGATGATGTAAAAATTTTTCGTTTGAGCTTTTCTCGGATTTTTACTTATGTAAAATATTGTTTTCATTTACTGCAAATTATTAATTCTAGAAGAATTTAATAATAAACTAAGATGAATAAAGATAACTAAAAGGACAATTTAAGCCCCATTTTCTGAAAGTCTTAAGCATAAATAAGATTCACGACATACTCAAAGACTGATCTACCCAGTATACAATGTACATGTTCCTCTTGACTTACAGTCAATGATAATGGCGAACACGGCATATGAACATGATCTTCATCCCATTTATCAATATAAGTTCCATGTCCATTGATTGGCTCTGGATCACGATCAGGATGCTTTTGATCGTATTTAAATGGCTACACAAATTAAGATAAAAATGTTTCGTCTCATTGTCGCAAAATTAGACGTACCTTAATCATGAAGATAATATTTTTGTCTCGTACATTATACATATCAGGTAATGTTGGTGGATAACGAAAAAAGTTATTTATTTTTTCTAGTTCTTCACCCTATTAAATGAGACAATGACTGCCACTAACAACTGACGTAATTAAAAACAAACTCACAAAAAAAATGCCATCGTCTGGGTCATCGACGTGTGCGAAAGCATCTCTATTCGCGTGTGGAGATGACTCTCGTTTCGGCTTTTTTTCAGTTGAACTTATTTCTTTTTCATTAATCAATGGTTGCTTGCTACTACTCATAGTTGGTGTAAAATGCAGATCGATCGATGTTTTGTTTTCACTTTCTGCAAAAAAGAATGCTTGTGAAGAGAAGAACGAAAAAAAGATCCTGTAAAAAAAAACAACGGTAAGAAGTAATATTTACAACAAAACGGTGTGCTTATTGTGCGCTCGGCAGTCTTTTTCTCGTTCTTACGCATATCTAGTGTCAAAAATTTGCACGAGTAATTGTTTTTCATCGTTTTTGCACGTGGTCAAAACTACTGAATTTGATAAAAATCATTTCAATTGAATAACTTGTGATATGAAATACAAGAGAGGCGAAAATCCTCTCATTCATCTGATTTATAAACCCAAATTGTAGATGCGCGCATAGTATTTCTAGATAGATACCTACAATCATATCCCAAAGTCATCATGATTCAAGTTTCCCGATGAAACAAAATGTTCATTCATATGCATTTTTACTCTGCCGTTTATTTTAATGAAAATTCCATACAACAACACCTAAAATCTATGATAACGAAAGATTCTTTGGTAGTTGCAATTGCATCTAGAGAATAGACAAGTAGACTAAGCAGAAACTTTTTGTATCGATACTCATTCCTAGTACTACTTCTATGTGAGGGTGTAGATATGTGGGAGTTTATGATTTTACTTTTTTTTTCATCTCAATTATACTCACACTTAAACCTTCGAGCATCTTATCACCATACCTTTAGATCAATCATAAATATTAAAGATATGGATGCTTCTCTATCTCGCAGTTTCGAACTCGGCAACCTGAATGTGAGTTTACGTGTTGTGAGTTATGTATTACAGTACTGACACTGGTTTTCCAAAAAATTTGTTCAGAATCTTTACTGATCTATCTGCATATCTTCAAGTGTAAGAAGTACTCTTTTTTTGAGTTATAGCAATTCTTTTACGAAACGAAATTTGAAATTTTTCTCTTACGTTAGTTACTGTGAAAAACCTTTCATCAGCCACAGCGCGAATGTGCTCTGATTATTATGTCGTAACTACATATTGACAAACAATTTTTTTCTCTTCCATTATATAGAGAATTTCTTATGACGGCCATTTTGAATTTTCAAGTTTTGTCTAACGTCGTTCGTTTTCGTTTTCATACATAATAAAAGAAAAAGAAAAATGGTTCGCTACAGCTTGTGCGAGAAAATAAAAGAACTTCTTTTAAAGAACTGTTACAAACACTTCATGACTTAAAATCAGACACAATAGACTGAAGAAGAATTTTTAAAAGTTATAAAATGTTTTCTCTTATATGCATGTTACGAGCTTGAGAGGTGAGCGTAAAGAAAGGTGCGTAAGTAATTTACAAACAGTAAAAAGAAATTAAAGTTTTGATAATTTTTTTCAGTAATAATATAATTCATAGTTGACCAATGGGTGGATGTACACAGTAAATGTACTTATTTCACTGACTATTGCTTCAAAAAGAACTTCCAGCATAGAAAAAGTTGAAAATGAAGATTAAATATTCTTTAACAAAATGTACAACTATATTTTGATTATATTTCAGAAAATCTCATTTACAGTCTGTATGTTGTTATTCTTATTAGTTTTTCTTGTTAAACGTACTTTTTCTAGCGTTCTACTTGTTTTCTTCGCCATAGATGACACTTGTTGCAATATAAGAGATGACGAAAACTGTCGCACAACTCAATAAGTGAAAAAGTAACAGCACAAACATCTGTTGAAATGATCTTGACGTGTTCCAATACTTATTTCTCTTTTCTCTACGAATAATAGATTAAAATAGTTCGAGATGAGCTTATCATATAGAGAGTAGTTCATCAAAGTAAAAATATTTCGAAAACACTGTAATCGACAGATGTCTTTTCGTTGGCATTTCATAAAAATCTATCCACAAGAGCTTCCATCAATAAGAAGCATTTGATAGATTTTCAATACAGATCCAACGTTTTCTTTCTCGTAATAATGAACGTAAATATGAATTAGTACAAGTAGAATGCATTAACCTTTGTAGATGATGTAACAGCTTAAATTTAGCCGAGTTCTGAAATAGTTCTCATTTGAGAAATTCGATGACTAAAGAATTATTGTAGATACTATTCTTAATCAAATGTAAATCGTATGAATTTTGCAAATTTTTCTTTGCATGAATGTCCATATAACCATTGCTGGAGTTTCTCCGAATGAAAATGTCATCAAACAACAGAAAATGGTTCTTTCGGGTGTGGGTTGGGGTGTGGGTGCTGATGGTAGAAGAACAGGGCCCACATCCGCACCCACCCACACCCACACCACCCACACCCACACCCACACCCATCGTAGAGCGGGAAAGTGAAAAATATAGACCAGTTTGGATCGGTCAGACCGGTACCGGTTCCAACTCTGCGTGAAGTCGCTAAGAGATATCCTAATTACAGTTCAAAGCCAAAGAAATCCTCCAAAACAGAAACTGATATTCGAGAAAATTCTTTCATGAATAAAGTAAAAACTTTAAGATATCTTTAAGTAATAAATTAAATTTTACTCAAGGGAATTTGCTGATGCATTATATTGAAAACTCATGTAATAACATGTCATTTCATAAACATTTTCGCTGTTTTGAATAATCACTCTTCACTATTGTTGATATCATCTAATAGTTTAAAACATATTTTGACTTGTTTAACAACAATCAATTATCTTTTTTATTTTCACAAAACAAACAAACAAACATAAAAGAAAAAAATTGAAATATAAATGAAATACAATATATAGGAAAAAGAAAACAATTTTACACCACAACTTCATAGACAAGTTTTTTTCCATTTTGAGATTTACTCAATGTAGAAATGTCACTTTCTTCTTCGGATGATATTCGTCCATTAATTGAAATATTCATATGATTATCTTTTGTTGTATATGTTGATATATTTGATAAAAGAATTTTATTTATTGATCTTCTACCATTAACAAGATATTCTCCATCTGAACGATCATAAAAATCTAATGATGATAATGCTTGTGAACCAATTGAATCTGAATTATTTGATGTTGTTGATGGCATACCAGAATCAAAACAAATTGAATTTTTTTTTTCTTTAACAAAAAAAATATTCATGTAGAAAAGAAGATTGACTTTATTTTTTTTGTTTTATTTTATTTTATATACCTTGAATAGAATAAATACCAATTGTTTCATCATTATAATATAATGTTCGACTTTCATTTCTTGGATAATAAAGACATGGATTTGTATCACGAACACGAACTGGTACTATAGGATGAAAATTATCTGAATTTGTTTTTAATGTATCAGTTGAACCATTTTTAGATTTTGTTTTATATTTTCGTTGATGAATATAAATTGATAAAATAATTAATCCGAATACAATACAAAAACCTAATATACCTCCTAAAAAACAAAAAAATTATTTCAAATACAATCCTATTAAATTAGATTATTATCCTTAAATTTGAAAAGTTATTCTATATGCTGTTAGATACAAAATAATACTGACAGTTTTTAAGAATAATCATCAAATATGACAATAGTGATTTATAATAATAATAAAAGAACTTCTTACCAATTAACATTAAAATAAAATCTGATGGATGATTTGATAATTGAATATGTGCTAAAATTGGAATTGATTTTGAACATATATCTGTTTGATTAATTAAACATAATTTTAAACGTAAATTTTTTTGTTCAATATTTATTGTAATTCCATCATTAATTAATTGAATTGATGTTAATGGTATACATGCTGATATATCATCATTATTATAATATTGTATACATAATTGATCAAGTGATATTAATATTGATCGTACAGGACTTATTTGAAAATGTAAACGATAATCATGTGTTGTATAATAAGCTTGTTCAATATTAGGAAATTCTTCTAATCGAATAGGAGATTCTTTTGTTGTAATAAATAAATTAGTTGAATAATCACTAAAACCAATATGATTTTTTGAACGAATTTTTATCATATATCGAGTTTTTTCATTTAAATCTTTAAATTTTATTAAATTTAAATTTGTAAATTTTTCTTCAGTATAATTATTAATATTATTACTAAGAATAATATGATATATTTGATCTGAACCACCATTATAACCGACTTTCCATTTAATTATAAATGAAGTATGTGTTATATTTATTGCTTCTAATTGAATTGGTGGATCAGGTAAACCAGGTCGTTGAAATTGTATAGAAAAATCATGTTGACCATAATTATTTTTTCCTACACATCGATATACACCAAGTATTGATGAATTTGATGCTGGTACTGTAATATAATAAAATTAAAAAAAAATAATTTATTAAGAAAAGCTATTAGCGCAATCTCTGTGGGATTAAAAATGTGAAACACAATAAAGCCGTTGTTAATAAACAAATAGAAATTGTTTATTGTTTCAGGATATCTTTCTTCCCAATCGTGTATTTAGTGCTTTTGAACTACAGTAAGCATGTAGTTAACATATTGTAATGATAGTCTATCCATATAAGATTTTAAACCTATTTCAAAAACGTCTATTCCACCCTTCGATAGATTTCAGGGTTGTCTCTCACGTTCTGTTATGCTTCTAAACCCTGTCCGTAATGGTCTATAACGGTCAATTTATTAAAATTTCCGTAGCAGTCTCTGATGATTAATTAGCTATTTAGTTAATTGACTAATTAGATAATTAACTAATTAGTGGTTTAATTCATTGGTTTAATTAATTAATTAAAATGTCCGTAACGATCTGTGGGTGTGGGGAGTGAATTCCAAATTTTTACCCTATACACTTCAACATTTCTTTCAGATCGTGTTTCACAAAAAAAAAACACGAGAAAATAATTAAACTTACAATGTAATTCAGATGATATAACAGTACTATTGTAAACCTTTTCGTTAGTAAATGAATTTAATCTTTGACCAAATGGTCCAAACCATATTATATCAGCTTTTGGATAAGCATCAACAAAACATTCTATTGTTGTATCAGAATTTTCTTTAACTGCTAATTTATTAAAAGAATTTAATATGAATGGTGCATCTAAATAAAATGAAAATATTCTTTATAAAATTTAATTAAATTAAATGAATTTTAATTAACAAGGCAACTACTCTCAAATATGAATCGCCGTTTGATGTCATGAAAAAATTTTGATAAGACTAGAAAAATTTAAATAGTCCATTGGAAAAAATGTTCACTATATGATTTGATGTAATTCTCTCTCTAGAAAATAATATCTTACATTGTATACGAACATCAGTTGATATATTTGATATTCCATCATATTGTTTATCAAGACTTATATTTAATAAATTTTTAACTTCACATGTATATATTCCAGCAAGTGAACGATCAATATTTTCTATTATATATTCAGCTATATGTTGTTGTTGTCCACATGATTGACTAAATATTTCTTTATGATTATGAAACCAATTAATTTGTTGACATGAAGGATTCGCATTAATTAAACATTTTAAAAGTAATTTATCACCTTGATTTAATGTTATATTTTCAATCATAGATAATTTTGGTTTATCTAGGCAATAAAAAATAAAGATTCATTAATTTTTATTTTTTGAACAAAAAAAAAACAATTTTCTTTAAAAAATATCTTACAAAGAATATTAACATTAATACGTGCATCTGTTTGTCCGACTGTATTTTTTGCTCGACATGATAAATTTTCTATATTAGTAAAATTTATTCGTAATTGTTCTTGATATTCTCCTATATATATACATTATAAAAAACGAAAATATCAATTAATCAATTTTATTTTCAACATATTATCAAACTTAAACTTAAGATAATTTCTTACCAAGAATTAATTGATCATTTTTAAACCATTCAATATTTGATATTAATGATGGATTTGATAATATTTTACAATGAATTATTTCAATTGTATTTTCAATAATATTTAATGTTTTTTTTATTAATTCTTTTTCATTAAATAAAATTTTTATAATTGGTTTAACTAAACAAAAAAAAAACAACACCAAAATAAATATTTCCTAGAAATTATAGAAAAAAAAAATTTATTTTTATCTTAAACTAACATAAAACATCAAGTTTAATATCAACATTTGTTTCATGAATACTCGCTTCATTTGATACTCGACAACGTAACATATGATTATGATCAGCAGGTGTTAGTAAAAGTGTTAAAATCGATGAACTTGAAAAGAATGTTGAACTTGTTTGATTGCCGATTGAACTAATAAAAAAACATTTTATCTATTGAAAAGCAAAAGAAAGAATAATAATACCAACCGTTGAATAAGTTCACCATTTTTATACCATTCAAATATTGGATTTGGATAAACACGTTCACTTGTACAATTAAAAATGACTGTTGTACCATCTGTTATAGGCATTTTTATTGATGAAATAAGACGAAGACGTGTTGGTGGAACTGAAATATAATAATGATATATTTTTTTTAGAAATCAAACAAATACTTTTTAATTGATACATAGTTTTCCTATGAATCTACTCGTTAATTTTCTGGTACATTTCCAAATCAGCGGCACTTATATTCTTTGATCACATTTACTGACATTCTTTAATATATCCTATCAATTAGTGTATAGAATATCGTTGATCTGAAGAAAATCACTTTAGATTAACGAAATGTGAATGTAGGTATTAGACTTTTCTACTCATACATTCAACCGGAATGGATGGGTCAGTACTACTGAGTTAATGTAAATATTGCCATCTCTAATCCAAATTTATATGTAATGATTGATGAATTACACAAAGGTTATGATGAAACAATATGAACAAACTTAATGATATTGAAACACTCTTGTCTATGAAATAATAAACTGTTAGACTTCACCTTTCTTCTAACAGGGCTGAGAATCACTCGTGGATCCACCTGTTCGGCGAACCGGCCATCGCCACCCCCCTGAGAATTTTTTTTTATCAGCAGAAATAAACATAAAGGCAGTTAAGTTGCCTCAAACAGGCTTTAAAAATCAGTTTTCGACTATGATCGCCATCTCCTCACTGATTTTCTGGATTCGCTACTGCTGGGAATTCAATCGCTATGATTAACAATATATTTTGCTTAATAAAATATGTTCATAAAACGAAACTAAATCAAGTGTAACATATCTCTTATTAAAAACATTGAACGTGTGAAATATGTCATGTTCAATCGTTAATAATTATTTCAAGGTGTATAAAAAGTAACTAATGAATGTTCAATGTGTATTTCACATTTTTCAAATCATAGATAAATAATAGAGAATGAGAAACAAAACAAAAATGAAAACTAATTGATAATGATTCGTTTTTTCCTTTTAAGAATTCATCATAATCTATTTGAATATACGACCTAAATTACTTTGTATCTATGATTTCCGGATGATTATTATTATTTTTTTTTTTCCTGAACAGATACACTCATTGTGTCTATAATCATATAATTGATTGTACGACTGTTTCGTCTTGTAACCTTTGTTAATGATAATAGTAAATGTATCTTCTTATTCATTTATTCTCAATAGATGAATAATTCTTTGTAACAGATGTTTACTTTGATTTTCTTAAAGAGAAGAAAATGAACATGAACATTTTCTATTGTTTTTTTTTCTCTATTATGTTAATTAGGAATAAAAGAAAGAATTTCCTTTTTTTTTTTTTTTGTTTTTCGACCTTACCAATAACATTTAATTGAAAACGATTTTCTTCTTTTGCTGTAAAATTTTGACATTTATATAAACCTGATGATTCTAAATGAACATTAATTATTGTTAATTGATATGTATTTATATTAAGTTGATTAATAATATATTTTTTAGGATCATTTGATATTGAATTAACACCAATAACATGTATATCATCTTTATACCAAAGAATAATATTTTCATATAAATTATTATCAATTAATGTATTTAATGATGATGAATATGAATTTATTAATAATTTTGATTTTATTTTATTAAAATCACATATTATTGTTACATTAATATTTTCACGAACTTTTATTATTTGAATTGATGAATATATTGAAGATATATGAAGTAAAATAAAAAAAACAAATATAAACATCTGAAAAAAAAATAAAAAAATTTCACCTTCAATCAATGTGAATATACATGTGTATGTATACATACTTTGTCTTATAATCTAAATATATATTTTTGTGTGTACACAGTTAGTTAGCAAATGTTATTACACGGAACCTTTTCCTTTCTTATATATGTATGTGTGTGTACATGTCGGACAACTACTGATGATGATCATTGAGTAAAGAATGAGAGAAGAAGAAGAGAAGAGAGAGATATACCTTTTGTGTCATTTTCAACAGAGAAAAAGAAGAAAAAAAACCGTTTGTCCATTTGTTCCACTAGCAACAAAAAAAATCAATTTAAGTTCATTGAAATAAGTTGCGCACATACACTACGTGATCTCAATGAATATCTAAGTCTTTCGTCATCTTCTATTTCAACAATGATCTATATCATTTGGATAAAATGTTTTGTTTTAACAGAACACAAACGTGATTTTCTAGTCTTTTTTTGTATACATATATTCATAGTTCATTATCAGTAATCTAAATCAATTGTATATATATATTTAATAGAATCATAATGATACTCTCTTACACAATATTAAACATACAAGTTTTTTTTTTTTTTAACTTAACGTTTTATATTTCAAATAAGAATAGAAATAGTTATGTACTAATTTCTTATGATTATCAAATTTCATATGTTCTATGGATCATCAGACAAAACTCGATTATTCTCTTAGATAATAATGTTGAAACATATTATATTAATATACTACTCACAAATGTTCGAACAGAATATACCCAAAGGCATCTTGACGTAAGAAGGTCAATATTCTAATTGATTATCATGTATCTTTCTTTTTATTGTTATGTTTAACCCGAAGTATGACAAACGGAAGTTATTTTTTTTTTTTTGTTCATCTGTTAATAATAAACTTGTTATATAAAATAAATTTGAATAGAGTATTTTTAAGAATTGTTTAATGAACGTGATTTCAAATTTTTTTTATCTTTATATTTTCATTTCATTATTATGAATAAGAAATTTGAGTAGTTATTGTTAGCTATGTCAAATGAAAGATTGTTTGAATATACTTAAAAATAAAAAAAAACAAAAACAGATGATCATGTATGACTTATCGAAATTTTATTAGTACATATTAATTTTCAATAATGACTCAAAAATAACACTTAAAAAATATATATATTAAAATAGAAAAGAAAAAAAAAAACAATGTTCTATGATGAAATATTAAGTAATCTTAATATATATATATATATTACATAGATAGAAGAAAAAAACCGACACTTCCGTTAGATCTTTTTTTTTAATGTAGACAAAAAAAAAGGCTAATTATAACATACCTATATGTTTAAATCAATTGAAGATATGTATATGAACACTTTCGTTTTAGACACATTTATTTTTCCTCTCTTATTAATATGAATGTCATCGGAATTTTTCTCTCTCTCTCTATCCCATTTACCAGCAGTGAGACGATGTGAACAAATTAAGGTATGTATGTGCGTCTAATATGTATAGTTTAGTCTTTTCTTTTCTTCTTTCTCTTTGTGTCTCTCCTTTCAATTTCATTAGAAGCAACCAAGTGAATAAGACGCGACATATATGTTCAAGTGTTTCAAATTCAAATGATTGGAACTAATATGAGAGTATAACAACAACTTAAAATATTGTTTTATTTTCGAATATTTTTTTTTTTTTTATCATTGATAATAACAACAATACAAAATAACAAAAAAAAAATTAAAATGACATCATTATTATAATCAATAAACAAAGAAGAAAAAAAAAAGATACATCGGCGTCTTAAAGAAAGATACTTGTCTTCTTTAGAGATTAGACATAAAGTTCAGTGTTGAGACCATCCTTAGTGTAAATAGATGATCCGTATTTGTATCAAAGAAGAAAATGATGATGATTTTTTTTTTTGCTTTTCTTTCTTGTGATTTGTGTATGCATCGGTTGAAAGCACTAAACGATGCCTCTAGCACAAATGTTCATATGTTTTTCGTTGTTTAACTATTATCCCCGGGTATTTTATGTTGTACGATATACATAGAAGATTATCAACAGTTGAAAGCACTCTATTGACTAAATATGTACACACGAACTAGTTCAATCGGCTTTTCTTGCATGGACAGGTGATGGAATTGGCCTATATATGTATATAATACAAGTAATGGATTAAAACTTCTATCCTATATTGTTAATCATGCGAATAGTTACTTATTGAAATGGAAAGAAATTTGCTTCTTCTTCTTCTTCTTCTTTTTTTTTCTTTTGTGATCGATTGATCAATGATATGTATTTTATTTATCAAATGGGGTCGTCTTCTTTCATTCATAACAAATTAAACTCATATACACGTGTATTAATACGCGCTCAAAACCATCATTTTCTACTTGTATAAATGTCGTCCGTGTTCTCACAAAAGAGTCAGTTGAATTGTCGTTTGACCATCCATCCAATCTTCGACTATATGTGTGTGTACTGAACGTGCATTGATTCAATGTGACACACACACGCGATCAATTAAATTGAAAATAATGATGGTGTACTATTTTTTTTTTTGTCTTTCTCATAAAATATTTCGATCTAAGACTAGAAAACCATCGATTCTATTCAATAAATTATCGAGGGTCTTGTTTTTTTTGTTCTATGCTGAAAAATTATTTTTTTACCTAGAAATAAAAGTATTAATCAAGTTTCTAGGGGATTAATCGATCTCATTCTTTCGCGTCATTTATTCGTGTTAGTAGAAAATTATTTTCTGAAACAAAAAAAAATAATTTATCTGACAAATAGTTGTTAAGATGTAATAATAAATTAATAGAATATGAAATTCTATGTTATTTATTTGATAACATCAAAGAAAAAGAAAAAAACAGAGAAGTTTTTAAATTTATATATCGATTTAATTAATTTAAAATGATGTTCATTGAAATTTTTTTAATATATGATGTAATCGTTAGACACATATATATAGCGTGATCAATCATGTATAATTCTTAAGTATTCTTGGTCATCAACTTGGTCACCTTTCGAAATGTAATATTTTAAGGTAAAAGTAATTAATTATAACTATAGTTAATTATAATTCTTCAAAACTTCGTGAATAGTAAATTGACAATATGAATCACTTATGTCATTTTATCATTATTTCAAAATATTTTATTTCGATTATTTTACAAGTCATTATGAATTATTTAGTTTTAAAGATTTAATAACAATACAATAGTTTGTAAAAGTGAAGACTTGAATATATAAAATGTTGATATATTGCATCAAAAATCTTTTTCAGATATTTGATGAATAACATTTGTAAAGAAGATCATTCTATGATTTATTGGATATATTTTCTAAGTAAGTATATAATATTGAATCATGTTCATAGTACTAAACTACGGAAAACAAGTCATAAAAAGCAAAATTTTATTCGAAAATGTCTGAAAAACACTCAAATACGGTGTATAAGCACTTATATGAAATTTTCATTTGTACTATAGGAGCGATTATTCTTATATAATTCATGCATACATCTATGTCAACTCTATATTTTCTCTGAAAAAAATGCAACTCACAAGCATTCTATCATTGCTAGTATGATAATGAGATACTTTATATGTTCATTGAATCAATTGAATTAATGCAATGTAGATAGTTCTGACGGATTCAATACATATGTTCATCATGCATAGAAATCTTTGCTATTGTCAATCAAGTTTTCTTTTCTTTTTTTACTTATTGTTTTAGTCGGATAATCATTGTCATAAATGTAATTTCTTAATGGTAGTTATTACTCTGTTATTAGCTATATTTTTTATTGCGTTATAAACACCTTATGCAGACATTAAGTAGTTTCTTTTTTGTTTGATCTATTATTAAATATGAAATACAAAATTATTTAAGTATTAAAAAAGATTTTCTTTGTCTATTTGACGTTGAATATTATTCATAAGAACATAGATAAGAATTCATATATATATCTTAACATCAATTAGTTAATGGAAATCAACGACAACGAAACGAAAGTATACTTGACTTGTTGTAGTTCAACAAGTGACATTATTCAATCTTGACAAATAGATTTATGGATGAGTAATTTAATATTGTCAAATTGAATTATTGTCTTTCATGCATAGTACGAAACTAGTCATAGATTTACACCAAAAAAAAAATATGTGAAAGAACTCGAGAAAAACATTAATCATGATTATAAGTTTAGTTTGATTTTTTTTTTCTCTTTATTGTTTCCAGAAATAAGATATATATATATACAATTGTGCGTAGCAATTTCTATTATTCAACTATTAAAAAGAAAGAAGAAGAATTTCTTTTGTTTTTTGTTAATCGATTTAATGATGTTCATTTTAATTTTTTCTTTGTCTACGTTATAGATTTCATTTGGTACGCGCATGTCTGTTTCTTTTTCTCTTGACAACTGACAATAGAAATTCTCTATCGACTTTCCAGCATTCGATTTGATGCACTTATATAGAAGCGTGTAAGGAAGAACAAGAAACCTACTATAGTTATTCATTTTTTTATCGTTTTTTTTTTTTTTTTTTTTTTTTTTGTTGTTGTTGTATTATTAGTTTCTGAAACCATATTTTCACATTATATTGAAGTGGTTAGACAAATGTTAGTTGCTATAACTATTGTTTCAAGGATTTATGTTAAAGAAAATAATAATATGAATATACTATCTTGTTTTTTTTTTTTTTCTTATAGATGAATGATTATTAAATTAGATTGTAAAACATGTATCAATAATGTTTTATTAGGTGATAGTATATATTTGTCAAAGTGAATGTTTACTAAGTTTTGGTTAAAATTTGATTCTAATGAAATAAAAATACTCGATGATGCAAAGGTAAGATCTATTATTATACATATCACAATATGTGAAGACAACTTGTGTTGTTTTTTTTGAATGTATTTGACAGAAAGTCTCGAGAAAAAAATAATTAAAAAGGAAAAAAAGAATGAGAAATTCCCCTATTTCCGCAAAAGAAAAGAATTTCCGTTCTTAGAATAATAACGACATAGACTAGTGACATCTGCATAAAAATTCTATGCGATTAAAAATTGATGAAAAAAAATCTTTATTACGATCTTTTATATATTAAATTAAATTGAATATGAAGAATATCATAGAAAAGAAAAAAAAGATAAGACTTTCTATAAAAAATTTAATTCGTTAATAGATCATCTGATGATGAATCATATTATTCCACTCAACTTCACTAAAAACTAAAAAAAGAAATATATAAGGTTTCATTCTTCAAAGTCATGGAACTTGTGGATAGTATTGCTTCATTACGTTCTGTAAGTATGATATGAATGATAACGGACATAAAAAGATCAATCAAGTGATTATTTCTATGCGGAAATCTTTGATTATTAAATTAATGCAAATAGTTTTCTATTATATATGTAATATTATAGACATTTCTGTTTTTTTTCTTTGCTTTATCTATTGTAGTAATAAACTATATAGCAACAGTAGATCTTAGTCATGTTCTTTTTTTCTTCGGTTTTTTTTTCTCTTATTCTTGTCGTAGGAAATGTTAATATTTTCTTCTCATGTTTCATAGTTAAACAAATGCAAGAATAACTTATTATATGTTAGACTCCGAATCAAATACATCCTCTACTATGCTCCAAGATGACAAGAATAGGAAAAGAGCAGTAGAGAAAGAAGAAAATTTATTATCATAGAAAGTGTTACAAAGAAACTTGTTTTTTTTTTCTTTGCCATCCCGTCAAATATATTCAACATCTATGATCAATGAATCGACAAGTATTCATCGAAATTTTTCGACACATTTCATCAAAACTTGAGAAATTAAAAGCGTTTCTTATTCATGATGCTCATTATAAGGTAATAAAATATTAATAGATAATTCACACATTGAAAGAGGATAGTATTTTTTTTTACTTTTATGTTATTGACAAAGAGACTTATGTTTATCGATTTACTTTTAGGTAGAGAATGTACGTTTGATAGATCGTTTTAACACTCGTCAACAAATAATTGGTAAAAAATATGGTTTTTTTTTGGTCGTTCTTATTGATTACTTTTTCTATTTTCAAGGGACATTATTTTTAACATCTACTCATATTATTTTTATTGATCCAGAAGGAAAACGAGAAACTTGGGTATGGTTATAAAAGAAAATAATTAATTAAAAAAAAAAGGATAATTTTATTTTATTTTAGATACTTCATTCTTTTATATCATCTGTTGATAAATTACCAATAACACAGCAAGGATGTCCGTTACGTATTCGTACAAAACATTTTTTTTCTGCTGAATTTATTATTTCAAAAGAACGTGATTGTACTGATTTACATGCTACATTAATTCAATTAAAACCAGGTTAAAAACAAAATAATAATCTATTTAAAATTTTAATTGAATTTATTTTTTTTTTAGATACTTATGAAAACTTATATTGTTTTCTTTATCAAGCTCCAAGTTATCTTGAAAAAATTTGGGATCCATTTTTATTAGCTACAGAATATATGAGAATGGGTGTACCAAATCAGGATTGGAAAGTTGAAGATAGTAATAGTAATTTTGATCTATGTGATACATATCCACCATTGATTTATGTACCAACATCAACAACAAAAGCAATGTTAATTGGTAGTGCAAAATTTCGAAGTCGAGGTCGATTACCTGTTCTCACCTATTTACATCCAAATGGAGTATATTAACATAGAAAAAAAAAAGAAACAAATTAATTTCTTTTCGGATTTTTCTTTTAAAAAAATATAGGCATCGATAACACGTTGTTCACAACCATTATCAGGTTTTAGTGCACGTTGTCTTGAAGATGAACAACTTCTTCAATGTATACTTAAGACAAATTCACAATCAAATACAATGTATATTATTGATACAAGACCACGTGTAAGTTGTAATTGAAAATGTTATAGTTATAAGGTAATTTTATAGTAAGAAACAGAAGTTTCGTCGAGAAAAAAAAAAGAGGAAGTTCATTTCCGTTAGAATCATCAAAATTAAGATAATTATATGGAAGGATAGTTTCGGGTCAGATTGTTCACACATACATTCTGATTTTTTTATTTTATTTAGCGCACGCTGTTCTTCTTTTTCTGATTGCACATCTCAAAATTCTCAAAGGAGTATCATTGTAATTACTTGCTTTCTTTTTTATTATTGAAAAATGCATATAAAACTTAAGTGCCTGATGGAAATAAAGTATTTCTATAAATACATATGACTATCTTTTAAGAGTTTTACGAAGTATTGAACTTGTCATTCTTTTTCTTTGTCTAGAAAGACAAAGAACTCTACCAAGCTTTATAATCTTACATGTTCTTTCAACTAAAATAATATAAATATAGAATGGATTATAGAAAAGTTTTTATACAACGTTAACTCTTACGGAAAACAACATTTCAGTATCGCATTAGTTATAGAAGTGTTCGTTTTACAAAATGACTGACTCGGAAAATTTATAGCATGTTAAAAAAATGGTAAACAAAAACCTATTGACTCATAATTAAAAATAAATTTTTCAAAAAAAAAAGAGTGAAAATTCATAGATTTTGACTCGTCTGAAAAATACCACAAGTGAAGCTAGCAGCTCTAAGCTGACGTTTGCGTCCCCTCTTCCCCTTTAGAAAATCGAGTTTTTCAGGAAAATATCGAAGTTGAGTTTTATATTATAGGAAGATGCAGTGAAGCTTCCTCTTTCAAAATCTGTATAGTTTTTTGGAAAAATGATCAGATTTTCAAAGACTTATCATATGAAACTTTAAATCTATTACCAATTTTTCCGAGAAATTTTCATGGTTTTTAAAAATTTTCAATTTCAGAAAACATGTGTTCCCACTTACATTATCATTGATTAAAATATTTTTATATTAACCAGCATGTCAGATGGCGTTAGCAACCTTTACCTATTACGTCCTTTAAAACGATCTAGTAGAATATACCATTACAATATGCTTTGTTCTGCATTTGAATGAAAAAATCCATTTTTAAAACTTTTTTACCGTTTTTCTCAAAACACGATTTCTAGACAGAAAAATTCAAATAACTCCCGCCCGACTCGACGTATAATCGATGTTGTCTTTTATAGGTCTTAATCAGAGCTCACTCTTCATCGGACGGATTTTTGATACTCGATCCCACGGCTGAGAAAAATGGGATTGACTGTCGTAGAGTCACATTTATTTATGGTTATTTTGCAAGCATATCTAAAAATGCTCATAAAAAATGAATGGAAGGGAGTTTGAAAATTCCGCCCGATGAAAAGTTGCGTACAGAGGCTAGCTCCAATTTGAAACCAATCCGAGCCCTGTACCCGTTCTAATGACGGACTTATTTCCCTTAAAAAAATATTAGTTAGAGCTTGTCAGACTCGGCTCTGTGTTGAAGTTGTGCAAATTCATAGATTTAATTTTTTCTTGAGAGAAATATCTATTGAAGAAAAATCGTTACTTTATGACAAAAAAAAACAGTACTTATAAATTAATATTTTCAAATAATTTTATTATAAAAACTATTCAGAAATATTTGAGAATTTTGATTGATTTAGAAGATTATTATCAATTTGTTTTTATTTTCAAAATAATAGATTAATGCAGTAGCAAATCGTGCAGCAGGTAAAGGTTATGAAAATGAAGTTTATTATTCAAATATGCAATTTAAATTTTGTCCAATTGAAAATATACATATAATGCGTAATAGTTTACAAAAATTACTTGAAGGTATTTTTTTTTTTAATCAAAACAAAACACTCAAATATCAATTATAATTTTAATATATTAAATTAAATTTAGTATGTGAAATGAAAAATCCATCAATGAATCAATATTTAAATGCACTTGATAATTCATCATGGTTACAACATATTAAAGCTGTTATAGATGCTGCTATATTTATTGCTCGAGTAATACAAAACAGAGATGGACAAAATCGCACCGCGCCTAGGCGCTACGCACATCTCTCTTTCTCTTTGCTCTACAAATCAGTTTCTCAAACTCCACCGAATACCGGGGTGCTCTAAGCATGTGCTCATCAAAGCTCAGACTAGTGTAGCGTAGGCGTGAGTAACGGCGCGGTGCGACTTTGTCCATCTCTGATACAAAAAACAAAAAAAAAAACTTTTTTGCTTCTCGTTCTAGGCTATTGATATTGAAAAGAAAAATGTTCTTGTTCATTGTTCAGATGGTTGGGATCGTACAGCACAATGTTGTTCATTATCTTCACTTCTTCTTTGTCCATATTATCGATCAATTCATGGATTTCGTGTAAATTTTTAATTATTCGTTTTTTTTTTATTTTAAAAACTTCATTATTCTAGATGTTAATTGAAAAAGAATGGCTTTCATTTGGACATAAATTTTCTGATCGATGTGGACATTTAAGAACGAATGAGAATAAAGAACAATCACCTGTTTTTCTTCAGGTATGCTAAGATCATTTTTATTGAGACGATGATAACTTTCTGCATAAGTGCGAGTATTTATTTCTTATATTGTCTAATAATGTTGAGTTGTTTTTAGTTTATTGAAGCTGTTTGGCAATTAAGTCAAATATATCCAACAGCATTTGAATTTAATGAACGTTTTCTTATATCATTACATGATCATTCACATTCATGTCAATATGGAAATTTTATAGGAAATTGTGAAAAAGATCGACTTGATTTAGGGTTTTTATTGAAGAATTTTATTATTTTAAAATTTTATTTTTGTTTATTTAGTATTAAAGAACGAACATATTCATATTGGAATTATATTTTACAAAATGTAAATGATTTTAAAAATCCATTATTTCGTCCACAATCATCATATGCAAGTGAAGTTCTTTTACCAATAGTTTATCCACAAACATTAAAGTAAAAGAAAACAACAACAAAAAAAAAGAAATATATATATAGATATATTTTTTCATTAGATTTTGGTTAAATATGTATCATCGATTTGATAGTGGAGTTTTACAAAAAGAAACTATTCCAAATACATTAACACATCTTGTTGATCATACAATAGCACTTAATGATCATGCACGATTATTAGAAAAAGTAATTGATTTTATTAAATTTTTTGAACAAAAGAAATTTGTTAACATATACAATTCTAATCATTTCAAAGAAAATATAGAGTCAGTAATAATTTCATATGCTAATCTATGTTGTCATTTTTTTTTCATCAAAATCAACTGGTTTAGTCATTGATTGCTATTCAAACAAATCGATTTTAATAAGTACAATGTGAGGATGTGTGTGTCTTGTAAAAGCGCCAAATTCTAATGGCGCCATTAGCGTGCTTGTATTCCATAGGAGGTGCGGTTTTGACTGAAAAAGTCTACAAGGTTTTTTTCTTCAGAGGAGCGATTTGAAATTCCGGGAGGGCAAGCCATATAGTTCATCGCGAGTCTCCGGGGGGAGGGGGGGCTCTGGATAAAACACTGAAAGTCTTGCATCACTATATTAAATATTTATATGATTCTTTTTCGGGTACAAAAAGATTAGAAAATAATCGCATGCTTTATTTGTTCTATATGAAAAATTGAGAATTTTAGGAGTTCTAAAAAATTTTTCATATAGACAGTTTTATAGAGCTCGGTAAGATCTATCGACTAAACAAAATCTTACTTGATTTTCATATTACTCCAACCTTAGTGAAACTTCTCTCGTATCATTTTGTCTTTTTTTTTTCGTTAGTTTTTGTCGTAGTACTGAAGTTTGTTTTTTTTTCCTGTGTTTTCAATTCAAAGATTATTCATTTCAAATATATAGTACTTGAGCTTCGCTATTCCAAGGTAAAAAAAAGAAATTTCATGTATTTTTGAAATACGAACCAAAACAAAAGAGTAATGCGAGATTTTTGACATTCATTGTAGTAGAAAATTATCAAAAAACACTTATTTTTTTTTTTTATTCATTTAAGCGTATTCGAGAACTTCGTTTAATACTTGAAAATGGAATAATAACACCAATATCTAATGAAGATATAAATGAAAATCATAATATAATATCATTTATTGAACATGATAGTGGTTTAAGTGAAAATGAATTAAATCAAACAACAGGAGGTGAATCTAATCAAATAATATTAACTAAATTTCTTCAACCATTAAATTCATCATCTGATATTGAAAGTGGTATTAGTAGTAGTGATTATTCACCTAAGAATAAAATTTTTACATCATCATTTACTCTTCAACATCAATTAAATTCCGAAAATAATGATATACCAACATTAGAACGTATTTCATTTGAACTTAATTCAATTGCACTTGATTGGCGTTCATATCATGCACCTTTTCATTGTACTTGTTCATTACCATTTGATTCGGCACAAAGAAAAGTATGAAAAAAAAAAAAAAAAAAATTTCAAAAAGAATTAAATAATTTTTCTTTACATATTTTAGTATAATTGTTGGCGATGTGGTGAAAATTTTTGTATACGTTGTATTGAACATGGTATTCGTTTACCTGGTCTTTATAGTAATAATTTAGTACCAGTATGTAAAACATGTGTACGTACAATAAAATTATCACCATTATTTGTTGATTATATAATATCAAAAAAATCTAAATATCAAAATCAAACTGAAATAAAATTATCAACATCAATCATTGATCAGAAATAAATTTGAGTAGTAGTAGCCGGTGATTTCTTTTTTTTTGTGTATCGTAATTTATTCAAGTCAGATTAAATATTTTGATTTTAAAATGTTTTTCTTCTTAATTTTGTTTTTGCATAGGTTTAAATTAATCAATTCTGTGTTTTATTTTTCAGTGATTTTTTTTGTTTTTCTAAATTGAATGATATTCATTGAAGAAATAGAAATTTTAATCGTTATGTACTGACTATTAATGTTTTATTCTTATTTTTTCGACGATATTAATTATTTAAATTAAATATCGAATAATGATTTGAATAGTCAATGAACTTCTCTATCAATACCAAGAGAGTGGGAATTCGAAAATTGATGAAATCGACCTCTTACAGAAAAATATGTAAAAAAAAAAACTCAGTCAATGCGTGTTAAAGCAGTTCCTAATAGAATTAAACCGATAACACTTGTTAATGTGATATACAGATCGATTGAAATAATCAATGAGCGTCACGACTTAAAAAGTTCATTTTAAAGATATGATTGTTTTTACTTGATATTTAGTAGATTTCAAGTTTTATAAAACTTACGTGTATTTTGCAATCTTTTATGTTTATTGAAATGTTCACCTTTAATCGTTCTCAGGATCAGATTAAAAAAAAGAATTTCATCGAAAAGTTATATGCAAATAGTATGATTGATTTGTTATTGCATTTCCTACAACTCTCTCTCTCTCTGGAAAACTTATAAGTATCCTAAAACGAAATTTACCATAGCATTGCTACAAAAAACACATTTTTTTATTAATAGAGAATAATGATGAGCTTTTTTTTTGTTTAATCAAAATATACAGTGGGTAAATAATAATTTCTTTGACATGTATCACTGTTGTTGTCATGTTTCCGATAATCGGACTCGAGCAAGGGCAGCTGTTTTTTGATTTTGGTGAAATCTAGATACGTAAAATATTTTATATATGTTATTAGTATTTAAAATTTCTAGCAAAACACTAAAACAATATAGATTAGACCTTAAACATCTTTTCTTTCTTAATTTTACACAACAAGTGTACATCATTACTACATTTTTCGTAAATGAATTATGATCTAGAACTTGTAGAATGTTCACATGAAAGAAGTCAAAATCGCATAACGTTTTGTAAAAAAAAAAAAAAAAAACTCCTTTTAGACGCTTGTTTTTACAATATGAACAACATCAAATATTGTCTAGTATTGATCAAATAATAAATGATATTGTTTTCTATCTTTTAAAGAAAAATATTTGTTAATTCATTGAAAGAAATTACTTTTCTTTCTTTATTATTAAAACAAAAAAAAAAGTTATAATATCAATTCGTATACATTTAACATAATGAAAGTGACAAATATCTTGTGTCCTTAAAAATAAAAGATAATGTCAATTATTAATAAGTATTTTCAGTTTTTTAATGGTAATGAATTGCCATTAGATGTATGATTGGAATTTTTTGTTTGTAAATTTTGAAACGGTGGAATAGATGGACTAGGATTTGATAATCTACGACTTGGTGTAAGAACACGTTCTTGTCGATGACTTGTTGTATTCGATAAATTTGATACATTCATCAATGGATCAAGATGTGGTAATACATTTGTATTATAATCAGATGAATTTTGTTGATTATAATTTTTTATTACACGCATTAATTCTTCACTAGGTGGTGGTAAATCATCAATACGATCAACAATACGTACATTTCCATCTCGTTCTTGTGAAAAATAATTTAAATATTGATTTGGATCAACACGAAAAACACCTTCTTCAATTACACGTCGTACTGTATAAGCTTTTAATGGTTCATATTCAATAATAACATTACGTGTTGGTTTAATTGGTGGTAATGGTGGAGCTTTTTCTAATAGAATAGGACGTTTAACTTTTTTATATGGTAACCATTTTTCAAATATAACTGTACGAGGTTTAGGTGGTGGAGTTGGTAAACGTTCAATAATCACTTGACGGGGTGGTGGTGGAGGTGGTGGTAAAGGTTTATCAATAATACAAGCTCTGATGAAATCAAAAACATAAATAAAAACAAAACAAAAACAAAATTATTTCTTATTATTTACTCCAATGGTGGTGGTGGAGTTGGTGGTCGTTCACGAATAGTTAATGGTGGTGGTGTAATTGGTTCTGGTTTTCTTTCACGTATAAAAAGTGGCTATGAAAAAACATATATTCTATCAATAAAACAATGTAGAATTTTTTTTCAATCATACTGATTCTGGTGGTTTTGAAGGTAATTGTTTTTCTCGAATAATAATTGGTGCTGGTGGTGGTGGTGTAGGTGGTTGTAAATAACGAATACGAATTTCTTTTTTGTAGACAACATTTTCTGTATTTGGTTTAAGTACTTTAACAGGTGGATTATCAATTACATTAATTTTATTTAAATAATATTCAGCATTTAAATTTGGATCATCTATAGGAGTATTAAATGAAGGAAATGCAGGAGATGGAGGTGGTGGTGGTGTTCGTCGTGCCGAAGATCTATTTTGAGTCATATCGTTTGATGATTGTAATTGAGATAGTTGACGATTAATTATTGGTGGTGGTGGAGGAGGAGGAAATTGTTGAACGTATGAAAGTGGTCGTTCTGATGTAAATAATGTTTGTGAATCTGATTTAGATAAAAGTTCAGGTTGCTCAGATATTAAATCTTGTGATGATTGAAAAATATAATCACGTGGATCAAGACCGAATTCAGTAAATATTTGATTAATTTTATCCTGATCTGTTTCTTTTGTTGTATTTTTGTCAAACGATATGTTATTATTATATGGTTGTGAGCTGAAGTGAAACCAAAAATAAAAGTATCATACATAAGAGAAAAAAAAAAGGGGGAAAAAAAACACTATTGATAATATCATTTGTGGTTTTGATGTGTAGAAATAGAGAAAAACAGGTAAATATCAATACTATTGATGTTATGAAACAAAAATCGATGTAGCGAAACTATGCATGATTAAATAGTGATAATAACACTCATATATATATATATATAATGTATGACACTTCTTAAATAGCTTATCAAATCAATGAATATGATTTGATTTCTAATAATAAAAAAACCAATGAATCAGTAGCTATAAATGGCCTTGGTCAGAAAAAAAAACGGAAAGCACTATCTTTGTTAATAATTGCAATATGAAATATAAATTTTGATATTATAACTGCATCAAAACGAAACAATTTAGTGATAGATGAAGGACAAAAAAGTAATTAGAAAAAAATATATATTGGTAAAATGATATATTGATTAATATAAATATTTTTTTAATATACATATTGATATTGAGTTAAAATGAATTTATTTTACATTGAAAATTTAACAATTGTTTATTCAACTATTTTTTGTTTTTTTATTTAATAAAAAGAATTTCATTTTTTTTTTTTTGTTCGTTTAATAGATTTTGTTTTGTACTATTAATTAATTGTCCATGTCTGTAAAATTATTTTCGACACTAAAAAAAAAAAAGTATTCGAAAAGTTTTAATTTTTCTTAGTTAATATCAATATAATGATTAATTAATCGACATAACAGTATACATCAAAATACATAAATATAATATTTAGTGTACTGACCTTGAATAAATATTTTCATTTTATAGAAAGATAAATTCAAGTAACTAGTATATTAGAAATAGTAAACTTTATTAAATAATATTATCAATATGAAATGTTAGAAAAACTAAAATCATAATTAGCAAATATGATGAATCTTTTATCATACGAAATATAGTATATTTCTTAATAATTTAAGATTCTTTCAATTTAAATATCATATTACATAAAATATTTTAATATAATAACTTACGTTGCCATGTTTTGTTAAATAATACTGATTTATTATTGTTATATGGAATAGTACTCTTTTTTTTTCTTCTTCTTCTTTGTATGTTGATATACCTACATGCAAAAGTTAAATATAAAACAAAACTAAATGTTCAAGTACACTCTTTTGTATATGTAACAATTTTTTTTTTACAGGCAATTGTAAAATAAAAATCACGCATAAGGAAAGTATTGAAGCATGACCAAAATTGTTCTACGAGCTCAATTGATGAAACCAACGAACATATGTATGTTTAAAAAAAAAAAAAAAAAAAAAAAAGATGCATACTCTCTTTTATTCATATCGTTCAACTATTATCTCTATGCATTCTATAATGATTGAATATAACCTTCATACTTTATCAAAAAAAAAAAAAAGAGTTGCGTCAGTTTAGTTCATTTTTATATGTTATGATAAAATATAAAAAACATATTTAAATAGGTTAATTTTCGTTGTTCAATTGAGCAATTAAAATAATGCAGTATTATATTTACTTTGTATGTCATATATAAGATATTGAAACGTTTATTATAAAATGTTTGATAAAGTACATGATAAACAAACAAAAAAAAAGAAATAGCTAGTTATATACGTATGTGTTGATACAAACTATCATATAGATTATCTACTTAATACAAGATCAGTAGGATAATAACCCTTTGACTTGACACATCCAAAACTATTACGTATGAAGAAACAAAAAAAACAAATAGTCATCAACTTAGCTTTTATGAAAGTAATAAAAAAAAAGAAAAAGTAACATGATGTCTATTATGATTATTCATTTTTTGTATTTTTAATCATTAATTTTTTTTGTTAAAATATTGTTGTATTGCTTGAATAATATCATATCCAGTAATATTTTTCAATAATTTTCTAAGATCTTCAAGAACTTTTTTAAAAAATTGACGAATATTTCGAAGATAATCATCAGATTCATTTTGATCATCATCATCATCATTATCATTGCTTGATGTTATAACTGTTGATGTATTTTGATCCTTCAAGAAAAATTTATATCAAAATAATTAATTATATTTATTTAAACAGTTTACCGGCCATGATAATACAATTGTTGATTTCGTAGAAAGTGTTGTTGTTTCATCAACAATCTGATTAATTGATAGAGAATCTTCATCATCACTATAATAATCTGGTAGAATAAGTAAACGATCGTTTGATGATGATGGCTATTATTCGAAATAAAAACAATAAATATGAAAAATTAACATAAAATTTAATCTACCGTTGGTACTGATTGTACTATACAAATAAGAACCAACAATACAAAGATGATGAATAATTTCATTATAGACTATTCGATATAACACTAGAATCTATATGTTAGGTAGAATTATTTTTTTCCTTGCCTATTTATATCAACAGACGACAAATGAAAACCTTATATAATTTGTTTTTTTGTATTATCGAGATATACAAGAAGATGTATGACAGATAATGATTTGTCTTTCCAAGAGTTAATGGGTACCGATAGTTTTTTTTTTCTTCTTTTGCGTAGCTAGTAAATAGTAGATTATTCATAATATGCAAGAGATACCAACAAGTATTTCGTTTTGTTCTATGAAGATTATTTGTATTCTGCTTTGATAATAAAGAACATAGACTTATTTTAAGCAAGATTACAAAAAATTCTTATAGTTTAAAATAATATTTTTTATCAAATTAGACAAATATGTAGAATTCAAAATTCTCTATTTTCTATAATTTGGATTCATTTATTACAATCATATATAACAGTAAATGTTATAGAAGATATATATATAAAATCTAATTATGTCATTATATAACATATGGTAAGCAATAAAAAAAAAGAAGGTTTTTATTAATAGTAGACAATTAGTCATAATAGTGCTATATAATATTATTTAGGAGTCGATTTGAAATTTTCGAGTTGGTTTATTAAAGTACACTAACCATCATCATATGTGAGTGTGGATGTTATTATGATATTATTGTATAATCAAATTTTCGTTTAAATTCACTTATTGTTGTCAACTGCGCTCTTTCGATCTCAATCATATTTGACTAAACTATTGAATATTTAGTATGCCAATGTTTTAAAAGTTTTAAATTTTGATTGAAAATTTTGCGATTGTAACTCAAAAAGAGATTTTGTTCAAAACTTCTAAATATTAAAAATTTGATAACTTAGTCGAATATCTTTAGGAATTTAGTTTTTATTAGAATACTATATAGTATCTATAGACAAAATATCATCGAAATCAAAGAACTATTCTCATAGTTTGTTTTTAGTAAATAGGAACTTAAGGCAGTATTCTGTGGCAATAATATTAAACAATGCACCTTTCCGACAATCATTTTGTCCAATGTTTTTAATGAGAATCTGAAATAGAATGTATCGGTACACTTTGTTTTGTAGAGCAACATGTACAAGAAGTGCAAAACTGGTGGTCAGTCACGCCAAAAAAACTCCTTTTAAAAGAACACTTACTTATTTTTTCACTTTAATGAAAGCGTGAAGATTTAAGGATGAAGGTACGGATGTAAAAAAGTCCAAGATTGACCGAATTCATGCTTTTTCCCAACCTATCCTTGTCACGGTCGCGTTGTGTTTGTCTACAATTCACTCAGAAAAGGACATCTCTATGCTAAGGAACTCAGAATCTGTAGTCATTGAAAACCTTCAGAGATAAACTAAAACTAAGATCTTTTAAAATGGATTTGTTTTTCCTAATATTTTTCTTTTCTCGCTCCTTGAAAGATTATTTCAGTACCACTTCACATACATATCATGTAATACACAAGCCATATACGTAAAAGCTACATGTACACGGATATGAAGGATGTAAAAGCATTCCTTATCTGTTATTCTATTAAACGTGATGTGTATAGTCTTGATCACGCTCAATAGATAACTTTCTTTTAAGCATAAAGACACGAAAATCTTATTAAGAAAAAAAACAAAGTGTAAAAAAGGAAATTCAGTGTGTATAGTGTACATGGTATTTTTTTTTCTTCAGCATGTAAAACAGTGTGCAACTTCTGTTTCATTAGGATACCGTACACTTTGTTTTGTTAATTTTATCTTATTTTATGTATACAATGTTTGAAATTTGATTTTTCAAACAAAAGATATTGAAATCAATTCCATGTGTTATTGTTAAGAAATAAATTTTCATGCCTTGTGAACCTTGTTTTTTTGCGCACTATGCCGGTGAAAAAAGGAAATTTTTGCTGATTTGAATAAAATTATACGAAAACAATTAATGTCATTGGCGAAATTCTAATTTATCTATTTCAATATTTAATTTATATTAATAATCACAGAGATTTAAAATAATAAAATATTTTTATCTGATTTTTTTTTTGTTGAAAAAGTGACATCTGGATTCCAAATTTTATTTTCTTAACAACAGTCAAAAGAACTGTTATTGTTATTATTGATGTGTAGTGTTTCATCATGAATGAAAAACAAACTTTAAATTTATATTTTTTACCTAATAAGTATCAAGAATATATATATATAGTCACGTTCGAAATTCAAAGAAGTAAGTTATTCTCAAATGAAATTAAAATCAAAACTTAGAAAATTCATTTTATCATCGAAAGATTCAAATACTGATATTTTATATAGAAAATGTGTCTTACAGTTGATACTGATTTTTTGCGAAAAATGTTCTGATTCGTTATAATTCAAACGAATGGTTCTGGTTTTTATTTTTCAATATTGAATACTTCTTTTTGAAAGAATATCAAAGTTTTAGAAAATCATAACTATTTGATAATATTAGAATGAGGTGTAATGATTAATATAAAATTAGTTATATGCTATTATCATGTGTAAATAATTTGATATGTCACAGGCAACAAGAAAAAAAACTTCATAGTTCTTTTTCTCCACATGAATTGCCTGTGGTTATAACAAAATGGCCCATACGATATGAATAAGTAATATAACATTTCTAGATTTATTTTATTGAAGATCTTATTACTTGAAAGTTAAAAAGAACAGATTCATGCTAATTATTCTTTTCATATTGATGATATATTCATCATCATTTGTATTTGGTGCTGATGAATTCGAAGATTATCGCTGCAGATGTGTTTGTCCATCATTAACTGTTTTACAAGATCCATCAGTAAATGAAACAAATCGTCGTGTTTATATTGATGTTGTTCCAGCAGATAATTGTACATGTTATCGTGTTGTATTTCATACTGTAAAAGCAACACAAAATTTTCAAGATCGTTTTTGTCCAAGGTAAAATATTTCATTTGATAACATGCAAAAATATTTGTTTTGGTTCTGTTATTCAGATGTGTTTGTAATTATGAAGTACGAAATACAACAACTATGAAAGTAAAAATAAAATAAAGTTTTTTTTTCTTTTTTTGTTTCTTTTCTATTATTTTTTTTTTTTGTTTTTAAATTTATTAAGGTTGTTGTTATTATTATAATGATTGCTATATCATTTTTATTTATTTATATGGCATTTTTACTTTGTCTTGATCCAATAATGAATCGAAGTAAAAAACCAACAACAACTACAACTCGAAAACCAAGACAAGATGAAAGACAAATAAGTGATTCTCCAATAAATAATGCAACACAAGAATGTGTATTTAGTGAACCAATTGACGGTGGATTACAACGTAATCGACGTTCATCAGTTGTATTGCATTTAGTTTCACATGAACAATCAAAATGGAGAAAACAAGTATGAAATTATTTTTTTTTTAATATTTGAAATTTGAATTGATTTCTTTTCTTTTAGGTTCAACAACAACAACAATCAGTATATAATAAACATGAATTGCTCAATTGATTTATTTTTTTCTTTTTTTTTTACCGCATGTGTCTTTTCATTCCGTATATCTTAGGTATTCGATCATTTTATTGAAAAACAAAACATTTTGACAGTTGCATTTTGTAAACGAATCTAGTTTAAATACAATAAATGAATTTATATATATATATATATGTTTTTGATAAGTAATTGATTTAGTTCAGTATGAAAAAATGAAACAATGCAAAAAGAATGATAATGATGTTCGAGAGAAAAACTATTCTTACTAAAAAATATCATATTTAACAATGAGTGTTTTATGTTATGCAGACGATTCAATTTCACAATAATAACGGATGATTAAAAAAGTAATCTAAAACAAAAATGATGTTCAATCAAAAACCTCAACCCTCTCACGCTATATCTTACTAAAATATTCAGTGTTAACCAATGACTTGCACCAAAATTATCATTAATATACATGTTTATAGAGAAATGGTTTCTTTTTCATTTCATTGTCTTTCAAATAAGTTTTGCTCTTAAACCAGAAGTTTTACGAATATTTTTAGGTTATATTTTAACCAAATCCTCATAATTTCTACAGGCTTCTTTAAGAAACAGAATAATGAACGAACATTTTCTTCAATCACTTTTCGATAACTCATTGATTGTCAACAAAAAGAAAATAAGATTTTTTAATATATGTAATAAATTATCTAAAATATCAAGATTTGCTGCTATGAATATGCTTAACATCTGATAGAAATTTGAACTAAGACAGAATGGCTTGCGAGCTTCACTTGGTTGCGAAATACAGTACAAAGTGACGAATATCCATGAGCGAAAAAGTCGATATTTCAAAAAAAAAAAAACACGAATCATCGTTATGATCAGCGGTCTCTACAGTTGTAATGGGTAAAAATAGTTTATCAAATAGACAGATGACTAACCTTTTATCCTGTTTTCATTAAAACTATTGGCGACGAGAAAAATATATATGTGTTTCAGTTCTAATTCAAGTAATAATTGACTTAAGCATGTGTCTGACGATACTTAAATGACATAAATGTTTATATAATTGTATGTGAAGGATCATGTTTGAGTTATCTATCACAGTACAAAACTCATTCACTTTTGGAAGAAGCAAAGTTACACTTGGTATGTTTTCTTTATTGAGAGCGAGACTCGTAATGATCCATTTTTAGGAACTCAGAACTTGGTTTATATGTTTTGGTTTTATCAAAAATACACCACATTTTCTTTTACTCTCATTTATTTGTGCAGAATTAATTATACGTTTTGCTTATGTCTCAATTTATGTTTCTTATAAGAAAAAAGAAAGTATTTGGGTTTCACATGTAACACCATGTGAAGAAAGTAAATTTTCACAATATTATGTCACAGAACTATTTCAACGAAATATTCGATCCCATA